CTTCCCCTCCCGCTGTGGCACTCAGCTGAGTGCTGCGCCCCTCAGCTGGTCTGCCAGGGGAGCCAGCAGCGCAAGGGGCTGTTTGGGCTCCCCTGGGGTGGGAGGGCGGTGACGTACATGGCCCCGCCCCTGGCTGTGTATGTCACCACCCCCCTCCCTCCTTCCCTCCCTTGCAGCAGCCCAGCTGAGCAGGCAGCACTCAGCCAAGTGCCACGGCAGGAGGGAAGGGGAAGGGGTGAGACGGAGGGGAGAGAGAGGGAAGAGAAAGAGAAGAGGGGCTGTTTGGGCTCCCCTGGGGTGGGAGGGCGGTGACGTACATGGCCCCGCCCCTGGCTGTGTATGTCACCACCCCCCTCCCTCCTTCCCTCCCTTGCAGCAGCCCAGCTGAGCAGGCAGCACTCAGCCAAGTGCCACGGCAGGAGGGAAGGGGAAGGGGTGAGACGGAGGGGAGAGAGAGGGAAGAGAAAGAGAAGAGAAAGGGAGAGTGAGAGGCAGGAGGGCGAGAAGAGAAAGAAAGAGACAGAAGAGAAAGAAAGAGACGGGGAGAGAGAGGCAGGAGGCGGAGGAGAGCTGAGAGAGACAGGGAGAGGCAGTAGGAGGAGAGGGGGAGAGAGAGAGAGAGAGAGAGAGACAGAGGGAGAGAGGGCAGGAAAGAAGACGGGCTAATTGGCTAGTTTGTCATATATTCGTATAATGCCTAACATAATGGGGCCCAATCTAGCTGAGGCCTTTAGGTGCTACAGCAATATCAATGTCAAATAATAATAAATATTCAAGCTGAATAGCCTCAGATAAGCACTTCTGAGAAGAGGGCGTACAAAGGAAGCAAGCAAAGGAATCAGCGGAATTTGCTGCCTTGTTGATCTGACAGACCCTGAGTTTGGTCACCTTTGTGGCATACCGTAAAATCTAACTCTTCAGTCAAGTGTCGTCTTTCATGGGCAGTCTTGCAGCACCTTAGAGCCTAACAAAAATGTAGATGGTCTTTAATGGGGCAGCTGAGTGAGGAAGGCCCTCATAAAACTTCAGGACCAGACTTCAAAGAGAAACTGCTGAGCTACAGTTCATTTTTAAGTTTGACACAATCAACTCTGGATTAAACAAAGACTGTGAATGGCTTGCTAACTACAAAAGCAGCTTCTCCTCTCTTGGAATTCACACCTCCAGATCAGCTGCTAGAAGTGGGCCTCATCCTCCTTGATTGGATCCACCTGGTCATCTCCAGCCTGATCCTGGCCTGCATATTTATTCCTGCCTCTGGATATTTCCACTACATGCATCTGACGAAGTGGGTCTCTGCCCACGAAAGCTTATGCTCCAACACTTCTGTTAGTCTATAAGGTGCCACAGGACTCCTGTCGCTTTTGAAGGCCCTCATAGGAATTCTAAATACCATTTTCTGGCCCGGTTAACGATCACTATGATGTATGTTTTTTTAAAACGCTGTCTTGTGCATGAAACCAAAGACACGGGCTAGGCACAATATCCTCACTAAAAAATGAAATGAACGGCAAGGTTTAAAGCGCCATCACGTGTCTTTAGTTTACTAGCGAAGCGCCGCAACCCCGCAATTGGTAATCGTGGCTCTCAGTGCCCCCAACCGCTAACTAGTCACCCCCCCCCCCCCCCCCACCAC